GACACAGAAAAACCATTTCTGAATAATTTTTAGGAATTTTCTTATTTAATGTGAGTTAGACATAACATTGAATGAGTTGTAGAATAGCACTAATGGAATTCTCATCCCTTAGGCAGACGCTGATGGTTGGCGATAAGGAGAAAGATTAGAGGAGGAAGAGAAAAAAGAGGAAGACAGAGGAGGGAGGGAAGGAAATGGAGGAGAAAGGAGGTCCAGGACAGAATTATAGAATGTCTAACTGTCTAGAGCCATGTCATTCTTGTGATAAAAGCAATTTTGAACAGATTACAGAGTACAGCAGAGGCACTCTTTTCAATCAAGGTATAAAGCAGCCCCAACTGTAGAAATGAAATCAGCTTGGATTCCTTTTGAAGTGAAAGTCTGATAATTTCTATGAAGTAACTGAGACTGCTCTGCAAAAAGTGATTAAAAATTAGCTCATGGGACTGGAGAGATGGGACAGAGCTTAGGAGCACTGGCTGCTCGTTTAGAGGACTTGAGTTTGGTTCTCAGTATCCACATGGCAGCCAACAACCTCCTGTAAATCCAGTTCCAGGGGGTCCAATTTCCTCATCTGCCCTCATGACATTGCACACATGGTGCAATCACATACTTTCAGGCAAAATACTCATACACACAAAAATAAAAATAAATAAATACAACTTAATAGCTCATATGTAAAGGTGCAATTATTCTTTTTTAGGTTGATAGTGGATATCATTCAGGGACTGGTTTCTAGAAGAATGACAGCAACAACGAGGTGGCCTGCTAAGATGGAATTGTATATTAAAGGAAGACAGAATCGATACAGAGGGAGAGAGAGCTGCTGGATGAGATACAGGTATGAAAACTTATTCTACTGACTGTTAACTTCTGTCTGGTCTCTCACACGTCTTCCCTGGCTCCTGGAATGCTGTTTCCCACCAGAAGTTCCTCTGAGATGGGCATTCCCATTCTCCCCTTTGAGTCTTCCTTTTTTAAATTGAACTTTTATGAATTTCATACAATAAATTTTGATGATATTTAGATCCCCTCCTGTAGCCTGAAAATGACTTATTCCTCCCAGAGTTCTGAAGAGGCATGGGCTAGCACAGAGCACCCTGGGAAGAAGGGTGGAGCCTAGCATGGGGAAAGATTGGAACAAAAGGATTTGGCGCCATACTGGGAAGCAGGGAAGAGGGAGCAGGTGAGCCAGCCTGCCCTGGACCCTGTGGGGTGCCCGGGGACCTCGAGAGAACCCAGTGGACCCCTCACAGAACTCTGTGGGGTGAGTGGGCATGCAGGCCATGAGATGAGTCAGACCATGGGCAAAAGCGATCCAGAACGGCAGGCCGAGCTGCACAGAGCTGGGTGCTGGGTGTTGGGTGTTCGTTTCTTTGTAAGTCTCTCCCCTCCCCTCCCAAAGGTATAAACTATGCAAGATTCAGATTTAAAAAAAAAAAAGAATTTTGGAATGAAATACATGGGACTTTGCCTTTTTTATCATAATAAAAATGTCAACAATTATGTTTACCTTATCTCTAGGTTCTCATTTTAAAGACCTATCAAAATATCTTGCATTGTATCCTACAGGCATGTTTCAAACATCCTTTGTTAATCTTTGTTTTGTGTCTGAAAATCATATGACTGATTTATTCTTTTAATTTATATGTATTTCCTTCACTAGAATCAAGGATGAGTGCCTTTTCTAGGCTGGACACCTTGTCTAGAAACTGCTGCTTAACCTGGTGAATTTTATCCATAAAGCAAATGGATGGGACAGTACAAGTCAGTCTACTAGCATGTATTTTCTTCCATGGGAGACTATTCTATATATTTCTGTGATATCAAATGTTTGAAAGAATTTTTCCATTCAAATGAGAAAAAGTAAGTAGATCCTCTGAGCCACACTGAACACACAAGTTACTTTAGATTTTCAGAAAGTCAGGTAAAAATATTTGCATTCACAACTCCACAGTCACCGTGTATTTGACCACATTTTTAACTTGATGGATCACATATAGACATACCAGTCACAGTAAACATATGATGCTACAAATCACCAGACTTAACTGTAGGATTATATGCCTTTAAATAAAGAGTATAGGAGTTCATTAGGGAGGGTTGTGGCCATAACTTATAATATCACAGCCTGTACACAATTTCACATATTTTTTTCATGGCTTCTACTGTATTTAAAGACTTTAATTAATGTGTTTATTGTAACACTCTTATTTATAAACTGTGGTTTCCTTGTTAATTAAACTTCCTTGCCTAGCTGCTTCCTAGTAGCAAAGTATTGACTTAATGTTAATGGGGGAAGTAACTCATTCACTAAATAATTTAAGAATGGTAACATTATCATACAGCTAAGATTTATTAACAACAGTGGATACAGTAAAGCACTCATATTACTAACTCTGCCTAATTTCCCTTTAATAAGTACGTTCTAATATGTCTTTTAAACATTTTATGTATATAAGTGTTTTCCCTGGATGTATGTAAGTGTACCTTTTCAGTGCAATTCTCATAGAGGCCAGAGGAAGGGGTAGGTTCCCCTGGAACTGGAGTTACCAACAGTTGTTGGCTGCCATGTGGGTGCTACAAACCATCACCCCTGTGTTGGTGCTAGGAACTGAACTTTAGTCTTCTGGAAAAGTAGCCAGTGCTCTTAACCAGGAGCCATCTCTCTAGCCCCACCACCACTTATTTTAGTAAGTCTGGAGTTTTGAGAGAGCAGAGTTGGATAAAATCGTTGTTTAAAAGATCACCACCATTGTTAGCAGTTGTTATTTATAAAGGTCATCCAAAAGAGGAAACTAGGCATTTTATTGAAATTGAAGTTTAAATGATCAGAACAAATCAATTATACAATTATTTTTTCTCTTTTGCTTTTCATAATTAAAGTAGACCTCAAATACGAAATTCTCACTGCTCTCTTGCAAAATGGCATTTCTATTCCCTTTCTAATCTAGTGTTGAGGGTTTTTTTTTCATGCTGAAATGATAAATACAAATAAATGAAAGGAAAACAAAATTAAAGCACCTACCAGGACTTCCTTTCACTTTACCCAGGGTTCCTAAAAGAGCAATCAACACATTGGGCATTGGTTCTTCTTTTCTCCCTCCTCAGTCAATAACACCCTGCTGTCCTATGCGCATAGCTTTCAGCTTTTATCACTTCCTTTTTCAAATGCGACTGCAAATTCAAATAGAAGCCACCCAGTTTCCAATTAAAACCCTTTGACTATTAGGAAGAGCTGTGAGCATGACCTATAATATCACAGCCTATATACAATTTTATACATGTTTTTCTTGAGTAGGGAGGGAGGAGGCTGATGGGAGAAAAAAGAATAGAGATGTATGAATCTCAGGGGGCTGGGAAACTTAGAATGACAAGTGATGCCCTTGAAACCCTATGAGAAAAGTAAGTACAGTGTCCAAACATTAGTGCATATGTATACCTGAAAGCTGCTTGGAAAGGAACACAGTGCCACACAGAAGAGATCTCCCTTAGAGTGGTTGGTGAGCATGGTCCAGGAGATTCCCAAAATAACACAGGTTATTGCCAAGCCTCTTGGTTATTTCCCAGAACTAGGGGATAAAGCTCTACTGTTGAGGACAGGACATACTTAGGGTACAGGACATGAAACAATGGAGCAAGAACTGACCTGGAAGCCTTCTAACCGAAGTTTGGCTATCATAATGCTAGAGGATGATATGCAAACTACCAAGGGAGAAAAACAATCAATGATCCAACCCAGCCCTAAAGCCTGATAACCATATTGACTGGCATGGCAAACTACCTCTATTGGAGCAGCAGTGGCCCTGTTATCTGGGGGGCAATCAACTTGGACTTGAAGCCCTCTCAGGTGGGGCAGGAGCTCATGTGTGGCACTGTAAACTCAGCCAAATACACATGGCAGGAGGGGACATAGATCTTAGAGAAAACCCTATCTCTTTCATATCTCAAGACAAATGAAACTTCTTACTATATGCTAAATATTGATCCTTATATTTACAGACAAGCATACTGCACGGCAGTCATCAAAGAAACTTCTTTTTGCAACAGACGGAAGGAAGCTAATGCAGAATTGCACATCTGGTCAGACACAGAGAATATATGTCTGAGAGATGCCAAGTACTAGGTGACACATCTAGAGTTGAACCTCTACAACTAAGGCATGTAGAACATAACAGAATAAGGGGTAGAGAGAAAACTAATGCATCCCTCAATTCTCACCAGTAACGCTTCCTCATACAACAGAGCGTGATGCACACAGAAGGGCACAACTATCTAAGTTTTAAAGAATAAGAGACTTCAGAATGTAGGATAGGACTCCTATATGGAACCTCATCCATTCACAGCTTAGGGACCTTTGTGGAAGAGGAGGCGGAAAGATTGTAAGATCCAAGGCTGGTTCACGAACATAGGGAAGCAGAGGCTTCCAGGCCACTGGAGGCTTGCTCATGTGAGCTTGTGGCAACGGTGGCATTGAGCACAGGACCCGTATCAACTCAATATAACAAGGGCCCAAAGGGGAGGAGAGAAATAGATGGTGGGCCAACACTAGACTGAGAACTATTTGAGATTGAATGCTGTTGCGTGAAAGAGAGTATGATTTACGTACGATCACTGGATGGGCTGACTAGATTCCAGTGGATGCATTTACACTGAGGGACATTTGGGTACAATTGCCTGAATGAGTAGGACTTGGCATGTATGGCAGAATGCATGAGGTTTGGTGGGGATACAGGGAAGGCATGGATGGGGGAGAGGGTCTAAATTTGATTAAGAATTGTTGTATGAAATTTTAAAAGTTTAATAAAAATATTTAAAAATCCTTCGTGGCCTTTACAATCAACTTATCATATTGTGATGTATTTTTACATTTTTCCCACAAGTCATATGAGAGCCCTGAAAGCAGTCTGTATCTTAATTACATAATCCCTCCCTCCACCCAAATCTCCATTTACTTAAATGTTGATAGATTGAGTTGAAAATCATTAAGGAGAATTAACTTACGTGAAATGTTGCTTGGGACCTTCTGGCCACTGCACATAGCAAAGGGTGCGGCCCGGCATGACCTTAATTTTGGAATAAAGACACTGAGGGAAGGCAAGGAGAAACGCTAGAATCCAAATACTTCCAATGACGATCTTGGTGGCTGTGGCAGACAGTCTGGGTTTCAAAGGATCAATAATGGCCATATACCTGTATAAGAGAAACAAGTGCATTTTGTTAGTTCTTTAGATATTGGAATTTAAAATAGAATATCAAAGATGTTTTAATAGATAGATCTGTCTCTCAGTACACAGTTGATAAGCATTTCACATTGAGAAGCAGCATATATAATAATGGCAGTGGCTCGGGTCTCAACAGATCTAGGGTCAAATCCTACCCTGAGATTTACCTAACCAATTGAACCTCGGCTTCATTATTTTTAAAATAGATATAAGAAACCTACTTCTCAGGGGGGGCAGGAAAGATTAACAGAACAGTGTCAGTGGAACTATTGATTGCTTGGTGCTGTGCCTAGCACATTATCTGAATTCATAAACATCTACTGAATTGAATGCAAAAAGCATCTACTGAATACTGGAAAATACTAGTTCAATACTGCAAGAGCTCCCTTTTTCTTGTTTTTTATTTTGTCAGAGCTGAGAACTGAACATGGGTCCCCACCACTGTTGGCTGCACAAATGCTTTGCCACTGAGCCATAGCCCCTCAATTATCATTTCCTTTTCTGTCTCTGTAGGCTTAATAGAGAATTCTTGTCAGGTAACATGAATAATACCTGTATGACTGCCAAGGATAGAGAAGCCCTGCGAATAATATGGCCTACACACCCATAAAGAAGCAATTCTGGGATTCAGGTATATGACCAAGTCAAGCTTGAAGGAGGCTAGGCTTCATATTATCCAGCAAGTTCAATTTATACTGCATCATGGAAAACTTGATGGCGTTTATTATATGTCTGCACAAAACACAGTTATAGAGAAATGTTTTTGAGGCTGCAAATGATGTACATATGACTATTGTAGGACAACTTTTTGGAAAATTGGGAATTCACTCAATATGGTAAGAAAAGTCATTTTATTCTTGTAGTAAAGACAGTGGCTATATAGCTCAAATTTTCAATTTTCAATTGGATAAAATATAGTCAATTGACAGATTTTGGCTAGTGATTAGAGAAGAAATGGTATTTTTAAAATTAACTAACTTCATATTTCTGCAAATACAGCATAACATATTGTTTTATTTTTATTATTATCCATTTTCTGGTTTATAATATTTGTGTTTTTCAAAGCTTATACTTCTGTCTTGGGGTGACTATTAGTTAATCATAAAACATTACAAACTGGGGCTGGAAAGATGGCTCAGCGGTTAAGAACACTGGTTGTTCTTGCAGAAGATCTGGGTTCAAATCCCAGCACCCACGTGGCAACTAACAACTGTCCATAACTCCAGTCCCAGGGGATCCAACAGCCTCTTCTGACCTCCGCGGACATTGAACGACACGAGTGCACTTACCTACATGCACGAAATACACGCATACACATAAAATAAAAATAAATAAAATTAAAAGAAACATTACAACCTTAAGAATAAACATTTCAAAATAAGAATAATGCATCTATTCACTGCTATTTGTTTGTGTAATTATTAGTCATGATTAAATCTTTAAGTAGATATATTGGAAATTAAAAGTATTTTTAATAGTAACAAAATTTACCTGGATGGATATTCTTAAGTTAATATGTGTGACAACTAACAGACAAATGTGAATCCTAGATATAAGAATCACACTTGTCCTTCTAGGATCAGCTTGTTTCACATAGTTGCAGGATTCCACAGACATGAAGCATCTAAAATAGCTGAACTCATAGTACCAGAGAAGGGAATCATGGTGGCCAGAGGGAGAAGGACAGGGAGTTTTTACTTACTTGACACAAAGTTTCACTTCTACAAGTCAAAGATGTTCTAGAGATATTTCTTACCCTATAGTATCTATAGTTACAAAATGATATTAGGAACTTGAAAATGTGTTAAAAGGCTAAGTCTTATGCTGAGTGTTCTTACTCCAAAAATGAACTTCCCCTGACACACACGTAGAAAGCACAGGAAGTTTTGGGAGGTGTTGGATACATTTAATAACTTGATTATGGTGAGTGTATCATAGTTAACTACCTTGATCCAAATTCATTAGAATGAATACTTTAAATATGCCAATTACACCTTAATGAAGCTCAAAAGTAAAAAAAAAAAAAAAGCATGGCTATAAAAATGGTACCATGGGTTAAGAAAACAGAATGAACGATAAAATGAAAATAAAATGCACATTTGGAATGGTAGGCTATTTAAAATTCAAGCTCATGAAGATTATACTACCAATAATCACTGATTGCAAACACAGTCAGAAACTTTACAGTGTGCATTTAATGCCTAGAATAACTAGTTTCTCAAACTGGAAAACCCTTATCAATCTATGTGGATGAGAGAAAGAGGTAGAGTTCAATTATCTATGATCACCCTGATGGCTGTGAATGTCCAAATACTTGTGGAAGAGAAGTGAAAGAGATGTAAGTTATATCTTAGGAAGAATTAGAAGTAGCATTTTACCTTTAAAGCCAAAAGCATTTTTGTATAATGCTAAACCCTGAACTCAAGCTTGTAATAGTGGGATTGCAGGAAGGTGTGTTTGTGTCTCCACTGCCACTGCTGATAATTTACATAGTATTTATCAGTGCATTCTTCTACAGTTCCATGGGTGTTTCCAGAGCTAAGTTAATAGATTTTGCAGTACCCCTGAGCTGAGTGTGCCTCCATTTGGTCTCAATCTTGCTTTTTTGCTGACTCTGAAAGTTTATAAATACAATTCGGACATTTATAGTTGGTTTTATAAGCTTAGAGAACTGTCCAGGTTTTATAACACAGATAGTTCAACAATAAATGCCAAATTTCTCATTGATTCTTTTGGCTAGTTATTCTAACTTTATATAAATTATTTCCTGATAGGTAGACTATTACTTTGTTCAAATTATGTAATAATAAATTTATGTCCTAACAAAGTGGTATTTTAGTAAAAATATGAATCTTGAAACCTTAAATTTTGAAATTTTATTTTTATTTATTACTGGTGGTGGTGTGTGTGAGAGAGAGAGGGAGAAAGAGAGGGGGGCATACATGTGTGTCATGGTGTGTGTGTGCAAAAGTCAGAGAACATCTTTGTGGAGTCTGTTTGCCCCTTTAATTTAAGTGGTTTCTGGGGATTGAACTTAGTGTAGGTGGTCAGGCTTGCTTGATAAGCAGTTTTACTTGCTGAGCCATCTTGCCCTTTAAGCACTAAGAAGACATTTATTTTTGCCTTTCTCATCTATTTTTCTTTTTCTTTTTTAAAATTATTTTTATTTTATGTGTATGAGTGTATTGCCTTCATGTATGTGTGTGCACCCATTTCGGGCAATGCCACAGAGGTCAGAAGAGAGTATCGATTCCCCTGGAACTGGAGTTAAGGATGGTTCATAGCCTCCACGTGGGTGCTGGGAATCGAATCCAGGTCCTTTGCAAGAGCAATCAGTGCTCTTAACTGCTGAGACATCTCTTTAGCCCCTCTTGTCTGTTATTTAGTTAATGAAACATTAATTAGAACATGAGTGTGATATTCCAAACAGTGAAATAATACAGAAGGTGGGCAAATATAAGATTTAAATCACTCACAGTCTATGAAATAGGTGACAAATTAGTTCATTTTCTATTATTATAAGTTATAATTACCCCAATCTTGGTACTTTATAATGAAGAAAAGTTTACTTAGTTCATAGTGTTAGAGATCAGAGGGGTACTGTCAGTTGTTCAGTGCTAGTGAGTGTCTCATCACAATGGCAAGTGGCAAGTGCACTTGTGAAAGCGAGAGGTAACCTGGTGAGAAGGGAGGCAGCAAGAGAGGAGGGCCTTGTCTTGTTTTTTCCTAATAACCTCTCAAAGGAACTGATCAAGGTCCCTCAAGGACTGTGGGGTCAGTCCACCAAGGTCAACTAGGTCCTAGGGGACTCTGAGTCATCTCCTGAAGTGTCCTACAATTATAATGGTCATCAGTTCTCACCAGATGGACCCTAAGTAGTGTTGAGTCTACAAAGATAAGGATCGACACAGAGAAAAAATTTTCCTGTATACTTAAAGCAAGATCATGGTCAAGTTAAGCCTTTGACTCATCCTCATATATACATGGAATAACTGGTAAAAGGAAGGCCAAAGGAGCCAGAGGCTCTTCCAAAGCCCAAGTGACCCCTGAAGGCCAGATATACTTCTATTAATGGTAAAAAGAAATTAATTTTTAAAAACCAAGCAAAAACATAACTAAATGTTAAAATGATTGCTATATTTCTTTAATGATCTTTAACTAGAATTATACTCTTTGGGCATTAGGCTTAACCATAAAAGACATAATGTAGGCAAGTATTTGTCATTAAGGTTTTTCTCCTTGATAAGGAAAACACTACTCAAATATAGGCCATCATAACTTTTGTTGAATTTAACACTACAGTGCCTACCTGAAGCTGAGGAAAACAGGCCCACCCTCTTAAACGATGAGGCTAACTCTAAGAATATCTATTCTAACTATGAAATGCTCTTCTTTCTGGAAGATAATTGTAACATGCCATTGTGTACTCTGACCACCATGATAAATGAGGTCACTGGATATCCTGTCAAAGTCACAGGTTTCAGGAAAATTATCAAAACCGTCAGTACTGTCCCCATGAGACATTGCTGGACAATCCTATGAAATAAAACTGTGGAATTATATCTCCCTCTCAGACAGTCAGTTATAGAATGACATCTCCTTTTGTCCTCAACAGGAATGAGACCCAAATTTCACCAGGCAAGACTGTGGGTGTCCATGGTCAAGAATTGTGTCTGATACATGGGAAGTGGCATACATTGTTGGCAGAGAATGATTACATTGTTGCCCTTTCTGACTTCTCATATGCAGTCTCTAAGCATTTCCTCCACCCTGCAGGGCTCTGGTGCATGGTTCACCCAGCTGCACCCTTGTATCTCACCTTTGTAAATAAGATTTATGTTAACAATAATGTCAAAAATTTTCCTCATTAATCTTGTCTCTCAATGTTTCTCATGGGGATTTTATAGAAGAAACCCAGTAGTTGACTTCTAAATTTAAACTGACTGATAAAAAATTTCTCAAGCTCTT